ATCAATCCCATAAAGTTTGAGAGTTGGTCATGGTATAATCGCTAAAAACTAAAAACTATAATAAGAAATAAAAATCATCTTTGCAAGGTAAATTGGCTTGTAATTAGTTCACAAGAGCAGGTGCCTTTAAATGCATAATTAAGTTAACGCTGGGTTCTCATCCAGCCAGACCTTATTATCTCTATCCTCTCTTCTCTGAAAAGTGGAGACTACAGTCTTTGCCTCCCACCTACAGTCCTTCCAGCGAATATCTCAAAGTCCTGGGTGCTTTATCAAGTGTCCACGCCAACCCAGATATTGCTGTTCTGCTATAGTAGTCACCCAAGTCACTTCTCCTGAAAACAAATGGGGCAATGCAATAAACTAGGTTTGCTTTCCCATAAAAACAAATCAACATAATGTGATCAAATCTTCTTTCCAATTTTACAGGGCATGAAACTAGTCTGCTGAGGGCACATGCTATAATAAGTACTTGAGCACATCACTAATATCTGCAGATGGGTAACTATTAATTGGCTTAATTGCTTTACTTATGAGAAGGAGAAAAAAAATACTGAACTCTTGCTTGATAGATGCCCATTGTCTAAATTAAGGTTACCTCTTTAGTCTTTCCTGCATTTCAGGTTTTTCCATTAGAACGTATATAATGAAACTTTATCATCATGCTAATCCTAGTTCTAAAGAGTCCCTCAGGCACGCAAGATTTTCCCATTAGCATCAAAAGTGTGGTGATACATACCTATTTGGTAGTCTTAGAGTCACAAATAACTGAGAAAAACAAACTTTCATCACAGAGTTAAAATATTTAATGACAAAATTAGGGTTTGCTGTAATAGTGGATCAATAGAGCAGGTGTTGTTTCTGAATGAAACAAAAATTATATTTGACATCTTAGAGAACTTCTGAAGAATTAACTGTACAACAGACATCAGCAGTGTTACAATTCTGAAAGTTAAGAGCGAAACCTATCTTTAATACCCTTATTTAGGGCATTCTGTAAATATTTTTACATAAATGCACAATCTTTGCTAGCCACAAAAGTATATTAAGACAGATTTCACTGTGATTTTAAGTCTAGCACATAACCTCAACTTTTTCAGAGCTTAAAAAAAGTTAACTACTGATCTTGTTACATTTTACAAATACATTCTTTAATATGAAACATTAACCTGAATAACTGCATACTTCCTGTACACAGATATCTAATAATACTAGTGAAGAATACTACAGCTACTCCAGGAAGAAGTGGTAATACTGGAAATTTCTTTTCTTTAAGCATTGTCCATACAATTTGAGAAGTCCTTCACAGAAATACAGCATCCCGAAAATAAATAGTGAAGTGCAGAAATGAAACAAACAGAAATTAAATGTCTTCTAGTAAGCTCAACCAAACAAGTTGGTCCCAAATAATGTAAGTCATTTTAGCAATTTTCTCTAGGTTAGATTGTATGATTATTTTGTATTGCAGCACCTTCTACAAAGGATAGCAAAGAACTTCGCATGTATTATCATGAGGCTCCTCTGCAGGAGGCTGCGAGGTAGAGGACAGACAGGGATTGCTGTTATGGCCTCTCTGTTGCAGGGAGGCCTAACAGGACTTTAACACGGGGAGGTCAAGGGAATGACCATGGCCTGGAAGCTAATCAATAGAGGAAGCTAATAAAGATTCAGATGGGCTTTCTTCTAATCCAGGCTATGTCCAATAAGACTTAGGTCTAGAAGGATAAACAGAAAAGAGGGCAAAATGTGGAATATGTATATTTATAAAGAGTAACTATCACAATTCTACCAGGGAGGAAGAGTCTCAGATTTCACAGTATGCTTATGACCTCATCCTCTGTTACTTTAGAAGCAGCTTCCCAAATACTGTTAGACAGTTGGCAACCAATTTTATTCTTGAGTTTGGCACATTATCAGGGGGTTTTAAATTTATCCTTTCAATTATTTATATCAACTATCTATCTTTGAAACCAGAATCCAATTTGGGAAGATGAATATCTGTGTGTGTGTGTGTGTGTGTGTGTGTGTGTTTTCTGAACCGAGGTATCTGTAAACAACACCTATTTAGAGCGATATTTGGGACTTTTCTTAGAAATCATAAATGCTTCTAATGGTACTCACCAAATGGCATGGTTCCTTGCTTCTTTAAACTTTTAAGACACCAAAAGAAAAGTACAAAATATCATAGTAAGCTTATAATAGTTTACTACATTAATTTTATAGAGGGTTTTCTTGAATTGGATCATCTCTCTAAGAGGATTCAGAAATTTGTCTCTGGCAAATCCCATATCCCTTTTGACATATACTGCATAAGATTTTTTTTTTTCTTTCCAATAGACAAACTTTCTGTCTCCCTGGGAATGCTTTATCAGGAAAACTGAAGCTATTTAAATCAGTATTTATAATCCAAAGTCATCTTATGCTGCAATGTAAGAAGATACAATGCACAGACTCAACTGGCTCAAAGGACAGGAAGGAATAGAAAGGGGTCCTGAAGATTCAGGCAGCTTAAAAATCAATGCGCTGCGGTGGGAGGCTGACGAGGTAACTGGGATGTGCAGCTTGCCTCCTTGTTTTGTGAAGAAAAAGCACAGCGTTTTTATGTTAGCATTTTAACGGTCCAGAAACCAAATTTTCAGACTCTAAACCAGTATTATCTTGAGAAATACCAAATCAGGAGGTGTGTGACCAACTTTACTCCATCTGCCTGCAATGTGAAGGCCTTGTGACTGCTGTTTTATGTCAGACCAGGCAAGCTGTAATTGCCATGAAATGCAATGTGTTAGCAAACCCACATGTTAAGTTACATTAAATAGACAGTAATAACAACATCAAAACCTCCACAAACCAGATACCAAGAAACTGAAGGCCCTTTCCAAACACATTGTTAGGGTTTTTCTAAAAGAGGTGTGCCCTTGTAAAAAGAAAAGAAAAAAGATTTTAAATGCAATATCTTTTCACATTATCATTTACACAGACCTTTAACTGGATAAAGCAGTTTTTGATAAAAATCCAAGCTCTTTTCAATACCAGGTACCATAATTTTGTACAATGACAAAAGAGAGAAACATCTATGAACACACAGAGGTTTTTAAGTAGACTTTTCTCTAGGTCTTTACTCTCAAATTTTTACAGCTCATAAGATAATTCCAAATAATGAGCCTAGAAACAAGTAGCAGAGGTATTTAAACTGTAGCTCTGAAAGTAGATTTCTATCCATGATTCTGATTTGTTTTTTGTGAATGCTGGTGATGGCTCATGCAAAAGATTACTATGCAAAGAGCAAAATATAAGACTGCTGTTCCTCTGATAAGTCCCACTGTTTTCCATAATACACTTATGTTGGGATATAGAATTTTAACCTCCAAGTTAAGAGAAGCTACAAGAGTGAGTGAAACGATCACTGCTTGAGTTTTATTTTCATCTAGGAACAGTAACATCTGATGTCACCACATGAAAATGTTTTTCTGTTTAATATCAGGGAAAATAATACATGTTGCCTATTTAGACCCAATTCAGTTTATCATTTTGTCCAAATCTCATATTCAAACTACAAAAACTTGGTTTTTTTAAAAAAGGAAAACATATTCAAACATAAACACATATATACACACATGAGAAAACCAAACCACAATGAAGCTGATGCTATTGTAGCATTTCTTAGCCAGATCATTAGGGAAATGTATAAACACAACATTTTTTTCTTTCATATTATCATCTGAAAATAA